TTCATATTTCTACTTATACAATTTCTATCTCCTCGTCGACTTTCATTATACAGAACATAATATTAGAGACGCGACAACGGTCTAAACTAACTGTCAGTACCTTCAACGTTCGCGGCCTATCATCAGGCATAAAGAAGCAACAGCTGGCTTCCGATTTTGTTTGGAAGACTCGATCTCTCCTGTTTGGCTGTTGTCGCTTAGGCTTATGCGAAAGCTATACATGCTGTGTATATCTACATTGCATTGATGCCAACGCGATGAAGCTTCTAATAATCATAAACAATAATTATTGTAGGTGTAACCGTTTAGCCCGCACAGAAGGACAGTGTTGTAGGCACAGCCGGATTATGCCGGCAGAAAAATTGACAGAATTCGGTACTTTTTCTGGTAAGTTTCATGCATGTTTGGTATGTGGATAAAGAAATGGAGCAGAATTCGAGGAGTTGCCCGCCGTAAGGTTTGTATGGTTCTGCCAATTTTACTGATTTTTGAGCAGAATCCGCCGGTGCCTACAGATTTGTTGGATTCGACATTGCTCTTAGAACAAGAAATACAGAGCAACTAGTAGCGGTTACAACAACAGAATCGGCGGGATCGCGACGGACGAATCTGGTGCCACTCTTCACGACTCCACCACAGAATCGGAGACGGCCGGACGATCGCTCATCGACAACCCTCACGGGCGGCGGTCACGGGAAGAGCGTCAGGAGAAGGAAACGAAATCAAAATAGATCTGAATAGAAGCCAGGGACTAGTGGAGACGCGACTGAGACAAATCGAGAAGGTGGAACAAGGAGACGTGGCTGAAGGTACAATCGCAGCAAAGAACAGATCAAAGATAAAGAAGAGATGGTGCGGTTCCTGGTTTAGTGTTTTGAGCAGTTGCATGTCTTAGAAAATATCTATATTCCACTGAGACTCGGGAGACGCGATTGAATGTACAAACGCAGCAAATAACGAGTCAAAAAAAAAAGAAGCAATGGCGCGCGGTTCTTGGCTAAGTGTTATTTACTATGCACCTTTCAGTTTCAGGTGTTAGAAACTGTTTATATCCGCACCCGTGACTCTGTGCTTTGTAAGCAGAAAGAAAACAGTATAGCACTCACACTCTTCAAATAAAACGCACTCGCCATTTGTTTACACACGCACGCACACACACACACACACACACACACACACACACACACCTAGCTGCCACATTCATCTCCTGCTACCATTTTCACATTCACTGTATACGCTCACGCGACTGATGTAAATGACTCTGTATGTAACCGCGAGCTGCTACTTTTCCACACTCTTAATTTTAATGTTGTGACATAATTCTGGCTATATAAATGGTTGTTTTAGTGATTCTTGCCATGTGACGATGTTCAACTCATGATAGTCACGAGAAACGTACATTGTTTCATTTTATCAATTGTTGTACACATGCTCATGAGTGCACAATTGGTTTTATCAAGAGTACATACTCTTGGTTTTATTCATTGCTCTTGTCTCCTCGTTGGATATTTTAATAATGATAATAATAATAACTTTATTGGGATGACCCAAAGGCTGACCGCCTATCGTGGGGTCCGTCACATTGAAGGATGATGCATTCATGCCACAAGGGAGAACAGAGGTTTAAATCAGGATATTGATACAGATACTCAGCATACTCTGCATACTCAGCATACTCAGCATGTCGTAGCCGTTCCCTCATGTCTTTCGCGGTCTCACATCCAGTATCGGCTATTGATACGTTCTTCGAATATTTCTTTCATTCATTCACACTTTCTTGATCCTCGTGTCGCAGTGCATCCTGCGCAATTCCTGCAAGGGGCGCGATTGCAACAGCAACGGCTCGGGAACCACCTTCAACTGTGTTCATCGCCATGATGCTAAATTCTTTTATGCATGTAATGTCACCGAATCATGGCTTGCCAACCTGCCTTTATACTCCGTTTCCAGCGTGCATGCTTCCAGGATATTTTGGAATTGCCTGGCACTTTCGGTCAGATGTTAAAGGGTAAATCTACCTATAATATATGATTGTACTTGTAGCTAGATCGTAGGTAGATCGTCGCGATTAAAATAATATCCTGTCAGTTCCCGAAGGGAGCTTACCCACTGATGTATTTGTTGCTTACACCAACATTCAAATTTGTTCCGTACAATAGTATACATTCGAAATTGTGCGGATGACATGACTGTATGCTACCTTCATTTGTCCTACTCACTTACTTTCGCACCAGTCATATTTGTCAAATGACGCGGAACCTGATGGCAAGACTCCCAAGGCTAGATTTAAGCGATAGGATGAGGAGACGAAATCAGCTTTATTGGTACATAGTGAAAATAATAATCTCACGGAGACGACATGTGTGCATACCCACTGGCCCCGTACACTGGAGGCCAGCCGTTCTTCTGGCGATAGTAGTCACGGGTTGCACAATACTTCTTGTCGCGCTCTAGATGCGAGATATCTGGCACTGCTTCCATCGCATCTATAACGTTCCGTTCGGACATTTCTATCTCATCATCCACCGTATCCAGGACTGGTTTGCAGAACAAACAACAACCCATCATTGACTATCGAAGAAATCGGCCTCTTGATTGAGTTCGGTGGTCAAAGGAAAAAGGTTTTCAACGGACCGTAGCGTGGATGAAATGTATCAAACTTATACTTATAGTCTTGAGTCAGAGTACTATGCAGTATGGTACTCCCAATTTTAGTTTCGTATTTAGATACTAGAAAATACTTACTAGTAGAAATTCTATAGGAATGAACTCCTTAGCAGGATTGGATTGGCTGTTCCAGTCAGCACTGTCGTATGTCCACACATTGCGGGAGGCTGTTGTATTCAGTAATGTTTGAATTGTATCTTCTAGCGCAACGTCATGGGATTGATCAGGTGACCTAAACATCGCAATAGAAGTCGCCTCGATATTAACTGTGCGCAATCTGGTGGATAGTGCGTAGTTTAATTGAAGAGTAGAATACGTTTCAATGCGTTCCATGCCTTTCCAAAAGCTTTGAATTTGGTGTTCTCCAAATGCTTTCAACATTAATATAGGAACCTTCAAAATTCATCTTTGCGAGCATGTGACTGACCACTTCCGCTGCATAGCTGGCTGAGCATCTCATTGCTTTTTAAGTTGCTAATCCCTTCCCACTTTGTGTACGTGCTCTTCATTTTCTTTTTTCTCTTCTTCCGTGGTTGGTCTCACGCTCTCCTCAATTCAATTGGCTGTCTTGACATGCCACGAGATGCAGAAATAAATAAATAATAATATTAATAAAATAATGTCATCAGCATGCTCACGTGGCAGAGCTCGCATTGTTGGTGCTATGTCACATGTCAAGGGCGGAAGCCCACGCCTCGTGGGCTGCGTTGTCTTTTAGTCTCGAGTCAAAGTGCATGTACAGTCAAACCTCTTTAGGACGAACACCAAAGGACCGATGGTATTTGCTCACAATAACGGGAGTTCTTCTTATCCATACCTTATACCCAGTGAATACACAGTGAATTATTCCATGAGCTATGAAAACTAGTTCTTCTGAAGCAAAATTTTGTCTTATCAGTGGTCTTCTTAACCAGGTTTTGCTGTACTATGTTACTGCCACAGTTCTTAGTTATCTGAACAGTACAGCTCCACAGTCAACACAAGTGGGGTCTCAGCAGCTCAAAATAGAGTGCTCGATGCCCGATGGCACGGAAGAGCAACACACACACACACACACACACACACACACACACACACACACACACACACACATTTTGAAAAGCTTCACTCAGATTCCGGTTTTTGTGCATTAGTGTTGGAATGGTTACAATAATGTTCTCACCTAGTGTAAACATGCATCACGGAGTGTGCTACTTCTGTCCTTGCACACCAACAGCCCAGCGCGGCAACTTCCACATGTCGCCACCCCCGCCGACCTTTAATACTCGAATAATATTCTCATGATCACTTCTTCTGGTGTGTAAGCCTATGAACACCGGTTGAAGAAAAAAGGTCATTGTTCCAAGTGTCTGCGACTGAGGGGATTCAAGTCCTCACCTCGATGCGCAGTCACTGCAAAGTACACCAAAGAGTAAACCAATGCAGAATGTACTGAGATGGTGAGCCAAGGAAAATATTAAATTCAAACAAGGAAAACGGTTTGGGGCACAAGTTACGCGTTAGGAGTCCACCAAGTAAACCGGGTTTTGAACCGTCAGACGTGAACAAGGTAGCACCAGATTCACAAAAAAGTACTAAGACATTGCACGGCAAGGAAGTGAGCTGCTCGAGCACTGCTCAGTAGCACTAACAAACGGCCTTCCAACTTTGAACGTTCATCGATATTCGTGATAATGCCAAAGAGGGGAAGGTAAGCGCAATGAAGCCGAACACAAGCTACATTACAAGGCAAGGTGGAATGCTTTGGAATTCAAGGAAGAGACCAGTGATGGTCTACTCTACCTTTCTTGTGTCGTTCAGCGACTCATCCTGTTTCTTCGGACTTGTACATAATATAGAAGGTGTACCATTAGACCATATCTTCACGTAAAAAGAAATTTCCCTGACAGATTCTGTCTGCAATACTCCATTGCCAAGGTTGAACCTTCCATTGCCTTCGTGTATGAATAAGGGCAAGAGTAGATAAACAACTCTTGATAAGGGTAAGAGGCTTTCTAGAATGCTGTAAGAGTCCTATCTCCAACTTCACCTGTCCCCGATAATGTTCCCATTCAATGCAATTCCGAAGTAAAAGGTTACAAACTACTGCCGTATACTTCGAAGTAAACCTTTGCACATGACCTGGTAGTATCCACGAGGTCACCAAATCCGGCACGGCCTCTCTTACGCCAACACCGCTGTATACTCTACATCATTAATTTTCATTTTCAACTTGAATCATGAAAGTGCTCTTGAGAAGAGGTTAAATTCAAGGCTAGCCGAACAATACCGGGTATCAAGCTTTGGGACTGCGCTCTGCATCTTGGTATGACAGCCAATCGACGCACAATACGCTACGCTTCCTTCTCCTTCTCCTCTTCTCTGGCCAGCTCCGCCTCAGCTGCCTCTCTAAACATGTCCATTGTCTGTTGCAGTTCTGGATCGGACACCTCCAAAAATGCATCTGAGGTTATGGGATGTGCTGGTTCCAATGCGTCCTTCTCCTCTTCGTCCACTTCTCTGGCCAGCTCCGCCTGAGATGCCTCTCTAAACCTGTCCATATTCTGTTGCAGTTCTGAATCGGACACCTCCCAAAAGACGGGTTTTGGTCGTCCCCATGCGTCTTCCTCCACTTCCTCCTCTTCCTCAGCTACCTCTCTATACGTGCCCATATTCTGTTGCAGTTCTGGATCGGACACCTCCCACATGTCGTCCCCGGTTACGGGTTGTGGTGGTCCCCATGCGTCTTCCTCCTCTTCGTCCTCTGGTCTGGCCAGCTCCGCCTCAGCTGCCTCTCTAAACCTGTCCATATACTGTTGAAGTTCTGGATCGGACGCCTTCCAAAATGCGTCCGAGGCTACGCGTGGTGCTGGTCCCAATGCGTTTTTCTCCTCTTCATCCTCATCTCTTGCCAGTTCCGCCTCAGCTACCTCTCTAAACCTGTCCATATTCTGTTGCAGTTCTGGATCGGAGGCTTCCCAAAATTCGTCCGAGGTTACAGGTGGTACTGGTGCGAATTCGTAACGGCGGGGGCGGATGGCCTGAGGTTCCATCTCCCTTGCAGTTCTTTCAAGTTCGGATAGCGGGGCAGCTGCGCTGTCTTTGCCGACAGTTGGGATAGGACTCCCCAGCGTGTTCCCCAATAGTGGATTCTCGGGCTGCGCTAGCATATTCTCATTTTCAGGACTCTCGGGCTGCGCTAGCGTATTCTCATTTTCAGGACTCTCGGGCTGCGCTGGCATATTCTCATTTTCAGGACTCTCGGGCTGCGCTGGCGCGTTCTCCATTGTATAACTATCGATCTCTACACCACTGAAGTCGTAGCCGTTCGCAATTAGCTGATGCCACAATGCGGCTTCACGCTCACGTTGCACAATCTCTCGCATTGTAGAAGAGAATTCACCCATCTTTAAGCCTTTCTTTAGACACAAATCTATGGTTAGGCGCTCGTCCATTCAACACATGGCCGCGCTCTGCCCTTGTCATCTTTCCTTTCAAACTTTGTTAGTCGCATCTTGTATGTGCGCCGTACAAGGACAATTATTCCCGTAGCTATTCAAAAGACATTACTTCAGTAACGTCTGGCGCCAGCCAGGGTCCAACCAGATTTAATTCCGTGTTTGTGCCATCGGCATGCCTCACGCTATCCCGTACCTGTCCCGCACCGTACCATCGAAGACAGCTGGACACAATATTCAAATAGTGCTTTCAACATTAATGCAAGATCATAACATGAAGCAACTATTACTTGGAAGAATGAGTATGTATGCGAAGTGTATCGGGGGAATGCATGCGCTTTCACTGGAATCTTAGTCCGTAGATCTACGTGCTAACCTGAGATCATTGGCATTACTGCCCACTTCAAACCTTTTGAGGATCGCCATATCTAACAAACGGACAACTGTACAGACTTGCCGATACTTTTATCGTCTTCAGCAGCCACAACTAAGTCAGAAACAGGTCTTAAAAGGTTGTGAGCTCCTATAGGTTACGAGTTTCTAGAAAATACCACCTTGGACCTTAGACTATTTCCTTTATCACCCAAGTTGGGTGATGTGTTGCATTCCTGCTTAGAATTGTAGTTAGACCGCATCGTCATGATATTAACTGATCTCTTCATCGTCCTGTAACCGTCAGTATTCTTTGGTGCAGTGGGAATTAGCTCGTGCACATTTTCGCTGCGCTCACCTTCCCCTCTTCAGTCATGTGTAACCATGAACCTTCCAAGTTGGAAGGCTGTTGGTTTGCGCACTGGAGATGTGTTAGAGCCAGGTCTCGGGTCACTAAATGTCTCAGTAGCCTGTCAGTGTTGTGCCCAAATATTGCACTTTCTGACTGTTCATCATCTTGTTACAGTCGTGGATAGTTGCTCCATAAATGGTTCTCATGTGTTTTTTCTCCTTTCTACATTTATTACTGGCTCCGTATCCGAGATGAAATTGATCGTTACAGAGAAACAAAAAGGATGTTTTTTCCCCCGTTACTCCAATACAAAGCTTATCTCTGACGTCATCAATCCCGCATGGTCTGGGAAGTTAATGGCGTCATCATGATGTCACCAAATTTAGTGCAAACTTCAAGCTAGCATAACTCGGGAACGGCTGCTCCGATCAACCTGGGACCTTCACCATTGGAATCAGTGCATTTTTCGCGACAGGTTGTAAAGTTTTCATGTTAGGGTGAAATTCCCCTAAATGTTGGGTACAACGTACAACGTGCTCTCCTCTCTTCACTTCTGTAGTGCCAATGTCTCAATGTCTCAATGCTCCGCTATTATAGTTTGCTACAGAGCCAGTTTCATTTTATTATTATTTTTCTCCCTTCTTCTGTTTCTTTTGAATAAAATTTGCAGCGTCAACGACCTTTGTGTAGTGGTTGTGACCGATCGTAATATGAATTGGCTGCAGTGCAGTGCAGCCTCCGTGCTCTGAAAAACAACGTAAGAAGGCGTGTGAAATAGCTCATACTCGACTCCTCAGTGACGATAGTTATAGTTATGTTGAGCACTCTCATGTGGGGTAGTGCCTTTGCTGCTTGCATAACGCAGAGCTCACTGACTTGTCAGTTTGAGCACTCTGGCAAAGTACGTTCGGGCCTGATTTAAAACTGGATTTGGAAATGTAATTTTCATTGCTATTAGGTTCGGGCTCATTTTCTCTGTGCTGCGCTGATGAGTTCACAAAGAACGAAACAGCGTGCTGTCCGCAGATTGAGTACTGTATTTCGCTCCTGCTCTTGTAGTAATTGAGCACTCTCATATCAAATAAAAAACAACAACAACAACATATGGGGTAGTGCCTTTGCTGTTTGCATTACGTAAAGCTCACTGACTTGTCAGTTTGAGCACTCTGGCAAGAAACGTCCGGGCCTGGCTTAATCTTGTTTTAGAAATTTAATTTTAATTGCTATCAGGTTCGGCCTACTTTTCACTGTGTTGTGCTGATGAGTTCACACAGAACGAAACGAAGCATGCTGTCCGCAGATTGAGTATTATAGTTATGTGTTGTTTTCCAAATTTCCAACATTCCCTGCACTATCCTGAAAAGAAGAGAAAGAAAACGTTTGATAGAAGGACGTGTCTACTTGATTGTCTGGATCTGCGTCTTTGCATGCGAACGTACAGATTGCGAAACTTTCACCAAATGAGAAGTAATTTTGAGGCATCTTGCATATTCATGCGTAAAGAGTAGTCGGGTAGACGCACCTATGGCCAAAGCTCTACGAACCGAAACGTTGTACGTAAAAGGATTTGGTTAGGTTTGCATTTCTTTGGGAATGCATGTTTCCATCCAACTACACTCTATTATCAACTAAGTCACTCCAAGTAATCCGTACCATTGTGCCCATTCCGGGCTGGCGGCTTGCTGGTGACAGCATGTCACATTACAGGCTCACACTGCTACCTGATGTTTGTTGCGCAAGAAACTGAATATTTCACGAATCTTTATGGTCGAGAAGCAGTCAGTCGTGTGCTAACTGTTCTAAGCCCACGGTTCTAGCTCACCAGCACCTCAATTAATGTCACATTCGGTGTTGAACGACTACGGGTAACTGGTAAAATTCTGGCGCTCCTCATTTATAATCCCTTTGCTTTATATCCGCCACTGGCCATACATCAGCCTTCCGCTCCTACAACTCGGCTCACCTTGCAGCCACGGCTGTAAGCCTGTCTCCATCTTGGCCGGCTTCTTTCAATTGCTACTCGTAAAGCTTTTCTCGCGTTTTGTTTTAGTTTCGTGATGGCAAATTCATTTCAGGACAGCCTCTATTTTGGAGGCTGAAGAATCCGTTATTGAATGGAAAAGCCATAAATCTCTTGTTAATCTAGAACGGGCCTTTACGATGGTACCCATGGCCAAACATTCGCCGTTACATATGTTATCTTCAATAGCCGTTTCTGCACTCGCGTCTGTGGATCCATATCGCTAACAGCTTCGCTCATAGACTGGCCATACACTCGCGCTACATCCCCATGTTCCTTTCATTGGCGATTTTAATGAAGCTTCATACCGTGTATCTCTGTCATGCATCATGTTCAGGTCAAAGACCGCAATATCAGTAACTCAACAACGCTGGTATGTTCCTACTAAACTCTTCTTGACTGTGCCGGTGGCCACACCTTTGCTTATCCTGCTTTCATTTCTGCTACTGGAGTGTAATTCTAGCCGCTGGCGAGCGCCTGATGATATCGTATCCGACTTCCTAAATCGCTGCGCATTGCATTCGGAAGTCCCTCTTCTGCAGATCCTCTTCCTTGCAACAAGATACACAGCAACCCGTGATATTTTTAGTTCCCACCTTCCAACCCGGCAAATATTTAGATTTTGATAAAAACGATTCAAAGCATCTCAATTATTTTGTAATACTTCTAAATATTAGAATAATATTAATAATATAATATACTTTCACACAAAATAAGCTCGGTGCAGCACTAATCATGGGAGGGGAACCCGACCCTTCACCATCGCCAACTCACGAAGCATGTGAGCTGGACGGTGACGGGCCGACGAAGCGCCCCGGACACACAATACAGCGGAACGTAGCAGCGCGAAAGACACCCGACAGCGATAATATCCCATCAACGACGAATAGCTACCTCCCGAAGATTGAGACGTGAGCAGGCAAAGGTGCTTGCGGAAGGCCGTGGGTGCCGGCGCAGCTGCCCCATTCACGAAAAAACCAAAGGTGCAAAGGCACCACGCTCAACATTCACTACTCTCTCAGCAACCCGTGATGATATTATCCATCAGCGCCCGGCCAAAAGCCAAAAATTGGCAGTAGCATACAGCGGTCAGAAGTAGGGCCATGAGTCACGTACAGCCTTGTGCCTTGCTCTCACAGAATATGCTACGATTCATATCCACAGCACAGATGCCTGGAAAACTAAACGCACCATTTTCGAGTGTAGTTCCGTCAGGGTGCTCTGTCCACGTTAAACTTACAGGCAGATACACATCAACCCTGATATTATCATTCATCCAGGTATACTTGCACTTGAATACCTACTGGTAAAATTCGCACACAACAGGCCAAAGGTTGTGTAGTTGTAACTTTACGTTTCACGCATTTCAGCGTTCATCAGACAGCAAGTACACAACCTCGGTCGTGAGTGTACGCGGCTCTGCACATTTGTGCATTAAGCGCTCTACCTCTCGCTGTCCAGATCGCCTTGTTTGTACTGGCAAAATTCCATACCTTGGGGTATTTGGTTGATTCAGATATATTGCCTTGACCAGTAGCAACGTTCTCAAATGGCCAGTATTCAGTGTTCTTCAAATCATTTTATTACAACTTAAAATCAATCACAACAATCATGTAAACAACCGTTGAGGGGATTTGCAATGTGTGCTTGTCTTAAATCGTTAGAAATAATAATAGAAGCAAATCAATAGAGGGGAAGCACACATTGCGGGGAGAGAATAGTCCGTTAACATTGTAACACGAATCAAATCAAGGACGTTACTACAATTAACTCAACAACATGGAGGAAACCCGCCTACTGCAGGTATCTCGCCCTGGACTGTGCCGGTGGCCCTACTTCGGCCCGTTCTTGGATCCTCTTCATCTCGGCCAGTTTCTTCGCTGCTGGCGACGGCTGATGCCCGGCTTCCTTCCGCAAGGCTTCATTCTTCGCTTCAAACTTGCGTATGTCTCGCTCCACTGGGTCCTCACACTTGCAACACGATACACAAGAACCCATGATTACAACCAAACTTTCCGAAGTATACTTCAACAGGAAGACCAACGTAGGATGCTTAGCTGCTTCACTTTATAGGTTTTGTCAACACCATTAGTCCCTCCAAAATACAAATGGAAACGAGCGGAAATAGTACAAATGGATATACAAATAGAATGTATGAGGTACAATCTGCCACTACTGACAATTTCATACGCAGAGCTATAAAAA